GAGTGTCACTGATAAGTCTTATGTAGACGAAACTTCTGGCAAACCAAATTATAAGCATGGTATCTTTAATTAGTTTCCAGGATGTGTTTCGTTATACCTTATCATGATTGTGGTCAAAATCGTCTTTATATGAAATACATGATGTACTTTATCGTTATTCTACATTACCGCTATCCCTTAACACGTTAGAACGCAGTGAATGCCAATTTGTGTCGATCTGATTAGTCAAGTCTTTTTTAACTGATCATTTTAGTTTGTTCTCACGTTGTGCTGCTACGCCACTGTACCAGGTTAGTGGAAGGGATGGGAGCCCGCCAACATGTTTAACCACTCCACATTATGTATGTGTCTGTCCCAAGTCAGAAACCTGTGATTCAGTGCTTTGTACATAAATCAGACCGTTAGTTTTCTTGTTTGAAGAAAACCTCATATAAGATACCAGACTTATAATTTTGTACGCCAGACGCGCGTTTCGTCTACAAAAAACTCATCAGTGACGCTCGAATGAAAAAGTTAAAAGACCAAATCAAGTACGAAGTTTAAATGCGTTGAGGACCCAAAAATTCCGAAAGGTTTTGCCAAATACAGCTAAGGTAATAGTGTTTTCATTTGTCACCTCGGGGTCTACCATACCTAACCATCGTAATAGTTTAAATCCGTACGATAACCTACAGTTCCACATGTATAGCATGGACTGTTTATCATTCCGGAGTTCACTCCCGATTTTTTGGTGGAGTAAGTGTTGTTCAATCTTCAATGTTCTATGCAGTGTTTTTGAAACTTTTTCGTCGTTTTTCGTTTATTTGTTAAGGTGTTGTCAGTTTATCTCTGACTTATGAGTTTTAACAAGTTTTTTTCCATTCGTTTGATGTGTTTGAGCTTTTGCATTTGCCATTTGATTAGGGACTTTCCGTTTTGGATTTTCCTCGGAGTTCAGTATTTTTGTGATTTAACTTTTTCCTTTTTGAATTTTCCTTGGAGTTCGGTATTTTTGTTATATTACTATTTAATTCCTGACACAAAAAAAATGTATTTAAAACCTATGTATCTGGGTTAGCTATGCCTTAAGACTTTTCGAGTCGCATAAGTGTATCTTTACTTAGGATAGATTTCGTGGTATAAACACAGCCATTTATCCAAAACGGCAATGAACTTTAACTTTTAAAAATTTTGCTCCGACAACAAATCAATGATTAAAAGTAGTTTAATTTCAGAAAGTATAAATAATGGTGCTAGATAGGAAAAACAAACATTTTGTCTTTTAAAAGACAACTTTTGAGTAGGAATCATAATGATGCAACGAGAAAAAAATAAATGATTTCAAAGGTCGTCTTAAAAATGGATACACTTATCCTGACTGAAAATTTACACGTTGAAAAAAAGGAAAACTATTCTGCCTAGGTTAAAATCATCTTGCCTAGTTTTAGATGTAGGGACGGGTTATTTGATTCACTTCCTTGTAAATATTTAAATATAACTTGGACTATTTACTCAAATAATCTTCCACCATATGTATTTAAGATTCACAAAAACTTTCATCGAAAATGCAAGTTTTATAAAAATCATTAGACAGTCTATATATTTAAGTATCTTCATATATTTTTTCACTTTCGTACGAAATCATTGCTTAAAAGATTGTAGATATATAAGAAGTATCTTTAGGGTACCCGACTGTGTCATGATATTTGATACTTCCTCATTCCACAAGACAAGTAAGTTCATTTTATCAAATGAATACAAAACGTAACTGTTGGTGAGCAGGATTATCAAGTTTTTAAATGTGGGTATGTCATATAAAAGTAAAATAACAAAAATACCGAACTCCAAGGAAAATTCAAAACGGAAAGTCCCTTATGAAGTTGCAAAATAAAACACATCAAACGAACGGAATACAACTGTCATATTCCTGACTTGGCATTTCCTAATATAGTAATTAGCACCTCACGTATTTAACTATTTAAACATACTTGGCTTCCGAATGCCTGGGTTTGAGCACTCCTGATAAAGGTGAATCTAAATCTCTTCGGTCCCACGATAAAGTTTTATTTTCATTTTGAACTGATATCAGATTAGTCTGTATATAACCTTGGCGTAACCGTGACAGTAAAGTCTACGAAGTGGACACAATTATTTATTAAAGAAGCAACCATGTTTTTATGTATCAACCATATTAAAGCTTTAGCTGGTATGTTACTACATCTTTTGTTGAAAAATGGTTGTGTTAAGCATAATCATTTTCTCAAATATCATTTGCAATCAATTCCTATTTATACAACTTCTTTACAAGTTAAACATTTTTCTTCATATGTATAATTAACGCTTTTTCATATGATTGGGCATGTTTGAGTGCCCGTTTTAAAGCTGCATTTATATACTTTTAGGAAGTATCTTGATGCAACTTTTGTTAAGAGCAGAACTATGTCCCTCCCGATGGTATATACTTGGTTGATTCAACAACCTAGATATTTATTCCAAGAACCATAATTCGGATATTTCAGTGTAGGGTTATATTGGCGGTTTTCAAATTACAAGCCTGGTATCTTTGATTATTTTAACAACCACTGGATCATGTCACTGCTGGTGGAAGTTTCTTCCCCGAGGGTATAATCAGCCTAGTAGTCAGCACTACTTGCTTTCATGATACGTTATTTCTGGTAAATTTACTGTAAAAAAAAATTTGAAATCATTCGAAATACTAAGGTTTTTCTACCCCCTAATACACATCATGTAGTATATCCTTAGAAAGATTTGGCACATTTTTAGGAATTTCAATGCTCTACAACTTCTTATTGATTTGACACTCCCCCTTTTTTTTCGAGTGCGTCTGGCGTGCAAAATTAAAAGCATGGTGTTTTTGATAACTTTTTTTGACCAAAACAGTAACGGTTAAATTTTGACAATATTTGAAATATGTTAAAATGAAATAATCTTTTGACACCTGCACGAGAGCACATAACAAAAAGCATGAGAGACAAACTTCATTGAAAACAAATTTAAAAAGTATAACCTGATTAATATTATTTGAAATAATTTTACATTAGAACTGGTTATAAAGAAGTAAGTGTTGCAGTTTATTAATTCAATAGTCCCAACAATCTGTTTTATTTTTGTATTGAGGTAAAAGAGCATCTAGATACTTATTGAACATATCTAGATGCTTATTGAACATATCGAGATGCTTTCCACAAGTATCTAGATTGAAAACTATTCATCAAGATACTAAGTTGGTTGTGACAAAAACAACTGAAGACAGTAACAACCAGATAAACAAATAAACTTCAAACATGTCTACGTCTTACAACGACTTCACAGTTCTTGAGTCGGGATGGCTGGTTGTTGAAAAGGATTGAGGGCATATGCTTTATTTTCTTCTGAATTTCAGTTTGAATAAAGTTTCCAGTCATGCATGGTTTAAACAAACCTCGATTTTGTGTATTCAAGACTTTCCATAGATGATACAATAGAGATATTCTATTACATTTTAAGAGATATTGGTATACGTCAAAAAGACAACAACCATTTAAATAAGTTCTTTCCCTAACTTGATTTTTGATATACATGTATTTCAATTTGCATGTGGTTTGTTTCCTTTGCCTGTGCTGATATTCCCTCCTGTAATAAAACCTTATGCAACATGGGGGTTATTGAAGGAAGCTTTTTTCTTCAAAAATAGCAAATGAAAGTGTCATTTTGAAATGTTTTTCTCTGTCTTAAATGCCATTTTTCTCAATTCTTACGCCAAGGAGATATATATCTGTACATGAGTTTGAGGAATGGGTGATGGAAATTACTTAAGAATTGCTTGATTTCAAATTTTGTTCTGTTCAAGATAATAAATCGGTCGTCTGTATATTACAAGTTATATGGTTTGCTACTGACCCTCTATGGATCCGTAGGGGGTCAATGGTGACCGTATAACGAATTTATCGCGCATTGGACTTTTCATGCCAAGTTTGGTATAAAAATAAACAATGCAATACAATAACATTAACAGATGACGTCACCATTAATATAAGACGTGACGTCATGAATCCCATACGAAGTCTACTGACCCCATACGGTTCCATAGGGGGTAGCCACGTGACGGCGTTAAACCAATCATAACGTCACTAATTGACCCGGGGTGCGATAAACTGAAATAAGTATGGCATCATGTGACTTTGAGGATGTTACAATCTGCAAATAGCTACCTTATTAGACCCATAAGGACTGTAAAACGGTTCTTATACATCATTGGTTTTCGGATATTTGGCTTTGAGTGTTCTGGTGAAGGTAAAAGCCTGAAAAGCGCTTCAGACGCAAGAAATAAATAAAGTTTTGTGTTAATTTTTTATAAGTTCATTCTGAGAAAAAAGAATGGTGTTAATTACAATTTGTACAAATTACATAAGATTTTCAAATTCACCAAATTTATACCAAACAAAATATGATTTGCAAATGCATTCTATACATTGCCTTCTCATTAAAAATTGTTGAAATATTCTGAATCACTATCCAGTTGATATTAACTACATGCAATTTCAAATAATTTTCCTGTGATATTTTCCGTACATTAGAGACATATATTACATATAGTCTCTGCTACATTTGAATGCAAATTTATTAAAATATATTTATTTAAAAATTTAATGTATGTTCCAAATATTTCATTTTTTTGTTCTCATTATTGTGACTTTATTTCCTATGACATTTTTCCTGTGACTTTTTATCCGTGACTTTTCCGTGACTTTTTCCTACATTCTTGTCTTCATTGTAAAACTGGCACATCTATACAAAAGTAAATTTTACATTTGTCAAAAAATAATGATGACTTTGCACATATATTTCTATACCTGAAACATGGATCTAGCGTTGCTTGCTTTCTTGATAGTTCAAGTTTAGTTAAAATTACATGCCGAATCGATTAAAAAGAATTGCAGTCTTCGTCCATATCAAGATTTTGTAAGATGTACGAAGTGATCATAGGTCGTGTTTGTGTTTGAGGAAAAATTGATGTTTTTACTTCTTAAATAGCGATTTTCTGATGATTGCATACTTTGATGTTCATTTTAATTACAGATGGTTTCGATGAAAACAATGTAACCGTTTTAGAGTCCATACATACATCATATTATAACATCATACACAAGAGTTAATGTCACCAGCTGAGGTAACAGGTATATATAATACACAATTACGCAGGTTATACAAAAGGAGCACATCAAACCAAATATCACATTCACATTACACAGTACACATTAATCTAGAGAGTCTAATAGTAATATACAAGACATTGAAAAATTCTTTCAAATATCAAATTGCTGTAATAAATTATTTCACTTAAATCGATTTATATATTGACTTTGTATAAAAAAAATCATTTCATCGAAAATTCAACACTAAATTCAAATCAAATGATTTTGGACATTTTGAAATCCTGGTTTTTAAATATTATTTTTATGGATATTTGACCAAGTGTACGTGGAGAGATACCGACCAATCTGAATCAACAGAGTTACTGAACTGCATCATTACTTTACCTGACATAGATTAATAACAAAAATGAGAATGACAAATTTATTAGATTGGTATCCTCATCATACAATAAAACATAAGTACAAATTGGCAAAAATTAGTGCTAAAATAACATGTCACAGTAAAATAATGCTACTGGAAAGAGGGATAAGGGAAGCGTAAAGCATGACATGCTGCCATGACGCAAGATGACACGTGTAAGATTAATGGAAGTGAGACTGTGGATAGGTAGGGCTAAAAAAAAATACGTGTAGTGGAAAGACGTGAGTGCAAACAAGGGAAGCGGAGCTAACTACACGTATGTAAATGGAAAACCATATGACGCCACAGACAGATCTATCGAAGTAGAAAACATACAATTTATTCTAAATAGACTTGATGAAGCTGCGTATGTTTATATCGTGTACTCTGTTTTTATATTCAAATGAATGTATTAGTGTAAATATGAAAGTATACCATTCGGTAACTATCTAGGTGAAAAGAGTTTTTAAAATTAACGATATGAATATGACCATGAAAATAGTTTCCTTTACATTTTACCCTGAAGACGATAAGCTGGTCAGTGTACTGAAACAAATCCAAACCATTCTACTTGATTAAGATTGTCAGTTTTCTTTCTTTTTTTTTATGAAGAAATAATCTAAAGGACATTTAAATGAAAAACTCTCCTATATCATATTGCAGATGTCCAAAATTATTTAAAGAGTGAAATATATTAGTTGATAACTATTTATAGTATTCTGTATAAATATAATTTATGAAAGTGACATAGTTTATAAGAAAATTTTTAAAAAATCATACAAAGTTATACCTATTGAGATATGTTATATACTGACTGTTCATTTTGTAGTGTAGTCTGAATATATTCTAACCAAACATGGCATCTGGAGGACAACAAGATTTTTTAAAGCGTCTTCAACAGTTTTATGGAGATGTTGTGATGAATGTAGTACATGTATATTTTGAAAGAGAAGTTTTAGACAAAACTACGTTGTTTTTGTTTCTTGACAAACATAAACATGAGTTATTTCATGAATTCATTCCCAAGATTTCATGTTGTGAATGTTTTAAGTCGAATTCGATAGCATCAGTTTCTAAAACAGGTTGTTTGGATGAATTTCAGTTTGACCTTTTGTATGATCGTTCGGCATGTGCAGAAACTAACCACGAGATTAAAAGGGGACAAAAGTTTCAACAATATTGTGTTTGCAATATAAATCCCAAAATAGTAGAAGTAGCAGATCTTGACATTATACTGATTCGCGCAGTGATAAAAACATGTTGTAAACGAACCCTTCCTGGTAACCCGTCGTGGCTGAAGGAAATCAAGGACGTCAGAAATTATATTGATCACATTGGAAGCTCTTACAGGATCTCTAAATCTGATTTTGAAGAAAAATGGAGCAGACTAGAGACAAACACTCTTAACATCGCGTTGATGACTGGAAAATCATTTCAGTTCATGACACAGAAGGATATACACAAACTGAAAGCGGAACATGATACCATTGACAGGATACAAGCGGTGGCCGAAAATGCAAATGATAGTTTAAAAGAGGTAAAAAGTAGTGTAACCTTATATAAAATATACGTCACAATTTCAGGAACAACGACTTTTGGCATTCGGGGTTCTTTTCTGTTCCACATTGCTGGAAAGACAGAAATACAGAAATTTGTTGTATGTGTCTCAAATAAATCCATGAAGCACGTTAACATTTTATTACATGCAGATTTAGATGCCAACACATTCCATATCATCATTCTTAGTGTTGGTTTCATCAGTTTGGCCATGCACACTATTTCCACTTGTAAATACCCTTACTTTTCCTTTTATCTGTTTATCTAATCAATTTATTTATGAAATGTAAAAATGCATCATAATTTTTAGAAATAGAATAGGATATGGTTCAGGACATTTCGGGCAACAAATTAAGAAAATAGAAAAACGCTAAAAGAAAAGAAAAAATTTGATTCCCGTTTGTATTCATTATCTTTGAAAATTATCTTGTAGAATGTGCTCATTTGATTAAATGAAATGCACTCGTAATTTTTAAACGTTTTGCAATTATTTATTGTATTTCAGGAGATTTTAAACGCTTTAAAGAATCAACCTGGCGTTAAACAAGACGAAATTGGACAGATTAGTTATCAATTGGGTATGCAAATGGTTTTGATCAACATAAAACACGTTTCTCAAAGGAGGTTAATTTCAAATATCTGAATTAGCAGCTTTGAACAGATTAACAGATAAAAATTGCCTCTGTCCGCAGTTATACTAGCAAACATTTCGCAAATGTCAATTTGATGAATGATATTGCAATCTGCAAGCTAGTTCAAAATTCAAGAGTAAATTCAGATAAATTCAGGTTGATAGAAAAATAAAATTGATATATGTTGTAAATAAATGTACCTGCAAAAGACATAATTAACCGCATATTCTTTTTAAAATATTAACGTATTTTAAGAAATATGGGTTTAAAATTTGCACTTTTTAAAATGAATATAAAATTCTTTGGTGAGTTAAAGAAACATCTGTTTATGAAATCCATCTTTAGGGAGGTCGGATCATTATTGATTTCAGGGAATGTAAAAAATAGGAGTACCGAATTTTTTCATCTTGCTATTTCACAATTGTAAAATTTGTTCCAGTTGCAGTAATATCCAACCTTAAATTAAAGATTTGTTCAAAAGTTATCTCCCCTAGCAAAATCACATTATACTATATTTCTTTCAAATAGCCTTCACAATAAGATATGTGATAATATATAATGTTTATGTAAATAAGTGTATTTTTAGAAAATGAGGTTAATTGTTCATTTTAGTCATGTTTTGAAACTTATTAAAAATGACCCCAACTTACCAAGATGATGGCTCCCATACATGCACAGTGGAATGCTCAATCAAGCAGTATCTATCTGCCTTACAAACCGATAAGATTCCAAAAACACACCACACATATTTTCAAGAGGCAGACTCATCTAAACGTTGTGAAGAATTTTGAAACTAGAAAGCACACTACATAAATGATATTTAGTGCTCATTTGAGCAGGGTCGTTATAAAAAGATTGACAGAGATAGAAGAATTTGTAAATTTTGTTCTTTCAAATTCACTTGCAGATAAAATTCAATTTCTGATGGAATGTCAAGCATTCGAACAACATGCCCTTTATGGGTCAATGATTGGTTTAATAAAGTATTCATACAAATACACTTATTTAAATAAATTGTAGTGAAAATAAGAAATTCGTAAAATTCCCTTTTATTCTCGGTTTGAATTATGTGTATTTTAATCCGTGAAATTTATTACCCTGGTATATTTGATGCACAATGATAAAACTTGATTTTATTTGGCATTTTCAGATCAGATTCTTTTCAAAATAACAGACCTTGAAGTTCAAATTTCCACGAAGCAAAAAGCAGATGTCATTGAAAGCGAACGGAAAGGTATATAATTGTGTGTGTGTGTGTTTTATATCTGGAATCGGTCTATGAAATACAATGAAATTTTCTACATAAATTCGTTCCGGAATTAACTCATGGAGCACACTCATGATCACAAAGAAAGGAAAGTGTAAAATGTCGAAGAGAACCAATCCAAAAGAACCTAAACAGAACATCCGTCGAATGTCATGTTTTTTTACAGAGTTGGAACTTAGCTTAAGCACGATTGCAATATTTTAGGAACTTGAAATATACAGACAAATGTTTCATATGACTTTGAAAAATACTGAAGCACTGGATACTGCGCGGAGGGTACCCTTGAGGACTGAATGTCCACCGTCTGTGGTACCGACCCAGTGGTAGAAACAAAAATTATTTATGATTTCCGTTATCGTACATGTTTCAGGAAAGAACTTTATGAAGTAAACTTGGGACAAAAAGTGTGGAAAACTAAAAAAAAAAAAATTATTTTGACAGGGCTGATTACTTCAAATCATTTCTTACAAAATGTTGAAGTAGGAAATTTTGTAGGGAATTCAATTACCCCCGAAAATAAGGATTGAATCAACTTAAAATATTTTACTAAGCTGCTATTGCTAGTTTAACCTTTTGTAATATTTACATACTTGTACATTATATATATGTCAAACCGTTAGATATAAATAAAATTGATAACTGAAATATACTGGAGAAGGACACTTACAGGACATTTTTCTGTAACTCTTTGGTTTCATTACCTTTATCAAATTTTAATTTAGAAATTGTAAGAACGTTTACGCTCTGATAATAAAAAATTGAGATTGTAGTGTGCACGTACTTTTATTTCTTTTTTTATGTTATAAATTAAAAGAATTGTCCATTTCCTGATGAAAACGCTTTATGAATCCGTTCATTATTACACTAAATTTTCATAATTTGCTATTTTAGGACTTTTCGTAACTAAATCAAAAACTTGTACCACTACCAACGTCTCATCTTTTATAAAACTACCCACAACGTTAATTACGAACGCGTACTTCTACCATCTTACATCCTTGAATCTCATTTCAGAAATAGAATATACGTTTAAAGAGTACTCAACTGTGTTGGTGATGTCAGAAATTAGAACAAGAACAAACAAAAATGTTGCAAACACAAATGTTATCAAATAACACACAACTAGTCATAGAACAGCCCATTGGTTTTTTCCGTTTGAATTGTTTCCAATTTATTCATGATGTGGTCTTTTATAGCTTACTATACGGTTTGGGTTTATTGAAGGACGTACGGTAGTTGCTACCATCCACGTTTTTTTTTGTCTTAAAGGATAATTGTCATTGCCAATTATAGGTCACATCAAATACTTTTATATATATATTATTTTTTTTAATTTAGAAGATCCTACGAAGTGCTATGTTAGATGGACACTTTCAACTCCTAGTAGCTGGCGTGTAGAAGATATCAAACGGAAGCTCAGATCCGTAGCAGAATTAACGAACTTTACAATAGAATTTGTTTATGCAGGATCACTCATAATAGACACGTCAGTTTCCTTAGATATGATCACAGATCCGGAGAGATTTTGTATAGCTTCCTTAGAATTTCTACGGAGTCTTGTAAAGTCTTGTGAGATTAATACCACCGTTGCTGTTAGTGTAGATGTTAAAGTTTTAGCATCTTTTTTATCGTATAGAGGTAAGTGAATTTCTCGAAATTACTATTTTTTCGTTGACTGATCTGGCCCACAATAAATCAATGATGATATACGTATATGTTTAACCTATAACATGAAATCAAACAAACCTAGAAAAATTCGATTCCACGTGCTCGCTATCTTTTTATATATATGTTTATATCGGGTTATATGACCGTCGGCAGTCTTCGAAGGTCATCTCGATGGATAATTACATGGCGGCTGATCTAAAATACGCCAGAAATGCTGATACATTAAAGCGAGCTCATGTATTGTTAATTGTTTCTTGGGGATTTTTTATAATTTGGATATTTGTTATAAATAAGATATAAGAATTTGGGTCATATCGGTAGACATGAATTTGACAGCTAATGCCCCTATAAGAATTATTTTGATTAGTTTTATGGGATCTTTGCGTTGCTGTTATGAAGACCCTCTATAGACGATTCTCGGTTAATGTCAATTAAGTAGCAAACATGACGGCATTGGTGGCACTTAATTCCATCGAAATCTTTGGAAAATCACATTTGCACCCTTTTCTTCTACTATAATTTCTTTTTTTATCAAAAATAACAAATTTAAACATCAGACATACAGAAGTCAACAAACTGTCTTCAATAATATAAAAAAAAGTCTTCACAATATGTCATGCACTAAATTGTCCGAGTCTAGACAAGTAGTGAACAAACATTACAGAGATAATCAAAGATTGGCTGCATACACGAAATTGCTGATAGCGAAAAATATGAATATATTACTATATACAAGCATTGCAGAAGTTACTGACAAGGAATAGGAAAATTATCATGTAATTTGGTTTACACTTTCCTTTTTGAACTCAATTAGTGAAATGCTAAAAGTTTCTAAAAAGACTAGAAGAGCGTATACAGTGAAATATGTTTATGTATTCGTTAACTCTAAATACTGGTATCACAAACTATAAAGGCACAAAAGAAATAAATTGCCTTGTTTCAATCAATAAATAAATAAAGTTGATACCAACCAAATACCGGGTGGAATGATTACCAACAACATAACTGTAATACCATTAATTGCATTTCGACAATTAATGTCTCTTCAATGATGCTCGACACCAAAATATTTGAAAATCCTAAACCTAATGCAAACGCTGAAGAGCCGATAAAAACAAAAGTTAGTCAAACACGGACAAGAAATCAGAGCTATGCATTTATAACTTTTATCAATAATTAACAATAGATTTGAGGAATTTTCTACACACTGCCTTCAACAAATTCAGTGTGTCAACAAATGTTGTCGTTCAATTTTTTTCAATCGATATTATTCATAAAAAAATGTTATGATAACGTTTGCACCATTTTATAACAATCGATGTGATGTTTATACTTTTTATGTCGAACGATTAACCTTTCGAGACTGCAACATTTTTTTCTAGAAACAGAAAGAGCAGAAGAATTAACTTTTGGATCCTGTCGAACATGTAGTAATAGAAACCTGACTACTGCAGCAGAAAAGTGGTGTAAAGACTGCCAGGAACTTTATTGCAACACCTGCTCTATGTACCATACAGCTATCACACCTTTGGCTAATCATACAATGCTATCGTTAAGCGATAATATGGAACATTTTCCACCAAACATTCCACAAAACATTACATGTAATAAACATGATTGGGATTTTAATTTCTTTTGCAAAACACATAAACAAATAATTTGCGTTGAGTGCGTCAGGCTGGATCACACAAATTGTGCTGACATTGTTCCTCTTAGTGTTGCTGCTTTAAATACAACATCGTCATCCATATTTGAAAATTTGGTATCACATGTACAAGAACTGATTGCTGACACGGAACAAGTTTTGTCATATTTAGCAAATCTGTCATTAGCAAATGAGCAACAAATTACTTACATTAAATCTGCTATTGCAGATAAGTTTAAATGGATTTCTTTTGAAAATGAAATAATAAATATCACCTTAAATGAATTGAAATCAAAGCACGAAGTGTGTAGAACTGAAATAGAAAAGAGTGTTAAAAAAATGATGACAATAAAACAGAACATTTCTAAAATTGATATTCAGTTATATCAAATGAAAGAATATTGTTCTGAACGTAAGGTGTTTTTCTTTGTACACAACATTGTCAAAAGTATAACGAGGGCAGATAAAACATTTAGAACATCTTCAGTTTGTACTGTAAATCAGGTGAAACATTTAGCATTCAAGGTTATGAGATTGAAAAGCTTGAAATAGTGTTAAATTCTGAACCTTATATTTTTCATTCTGCAAAAAAAGAAGCAAAACAATAAACAGGCTCAAGTTCCAATTTCTGTAAGCAGCATTGACAAAATAAGACTGTAAAAAAAAATCACATTTCATCTAAAATATAAAGTCATAAAATATTTAAAGGTAGTATGTCTTAATGACAAAGTAATTATTTTTAACAACACAGCAACGGGACTTCTAGTATACAATATCATGGGTTCTTTGGAGCGAGAAATTGAAATTTCAAAGAACTCCAAAATAGAAATTCATGGTTTAAAGTTAAAGATATAACGGTTATCAATAAAGACTGCATCGCTGTGATGAGAAAGAATGATATATTAAGTGTAAACGTAGAAAATGATATCGTAATTGTATTACCAATAGTCGCAAAATATATTCTTGTCGTAGAATATTTTATTGGGAAGATTTTTCTTTATATTTTCGATCGTAATTTTAACATTACTGTTATAGACTTGGGTGGAAATTTTGTCAAAATCATTAATTTTGAAATTGTTTTTCACGGTATCAAATCATATGTTGTTCAAAATAATAAGATATTCGTTTTATCAAAAGTTTTTAGATGTTTCGATTTAAATGGCCAACTACTTTGGCAAAGCAAAAATCGACGAACGTGATTTTTCAGTCTGATATACAAATTTCCGTTGATAATTGGGACAATTGTTATATACTAAGTGCTGTTAGTAATAATATAAAAGTTATATCAAACTATGGCCATCAAAGCAAATTATTACTTTCAGTGACAGATGGTATCAGATATCCAAGAGCGGTATATTTTGATAAGACGAACAACCGTCTAATTGTAATGACTGTATACTGTATATGTACAGTGTTTGATGTAACTTTAAAAGAGTAATTACATATACATGTATTACTGTCGAATTGAAAATACATAAAGTATAATGTCATAGTTTTATGTTTTCTTTCACATCCTCAATTTATTATTTCAAACCACTATTAAAGTGATCATTCATATTTCTTGTATATATTACATGTCTTTGATTAAAATCAGTAATTTCTAAATACAAATAATGGAAGAGTCTACATATATATATATATCATACATTTTTCTGAACCTTACACATTCTTCCAAAAAATCAAAATAGTAGTCAGCGCTTCATATTGCTGCTGTAGATATTGTTGATTATTTTACATGTTTTCCTGGTTCAATCGTGCATCGAAGGGCGTATGAAAACAAAACCAATTACTATGTATATAAAAAAAAAACAGTATATAGAGTCACTTCTAATAAAAAGTAAAATAACAAAAATACCAAACTCCAAGGAATATTCAAAACGGAAAGTCACTTATCAAATAACAAAATCAAAAGCTCAAACACATCACACAAATGGAAAACAACTGCCATATTCCTGACTTTGGACAGGCATTTCCTTATGTAGAAAATGGTGGATTAAACCTGGTTTTCTAGCTAGCTAAACATCTCACATGTATGACAGTCCATTATATTGACAACAATATTTGCATTTAGCAGTTTAATCAAACGTTCTATACCAAATATGAAACTAGCAACAACTTTATAATTGTTTAGATAAACTACCATGTTCATTGATATTGATATATACTCACATAAGTTCTAGAAAGGCATTCGAAATTGCTGTCTTCCTAAATGTTGTCCTGTTTATCGCTTCGAACGCTCCAACGTCCGGATTCATTCGTATCGGGGTTATATGGGGTGAACAATGTGTGAACAAAACAAACAGATATAATAGGTAAAAATGTAAAAAATTTGAGTACAGCAGCCAAAATTGTGTCAACATGGTGTTTAAAAATATTTGTTTTTGGTTAAGATTGTCATTCGAAAAATACTCAAATCAAAGCACTGGCGTACTGTTAACTCGGATGGAAAAAATCTTGGGGTTAGATTTCAATAGTATCTTAGTCCTATGTGATACTTTTGAAAGTGCCTGAAGTTAAGATAAATCCTAATTTAAGACATCAAAATACTTATTCCAAATACCGATGAGAAATACATTTCATTCACCAAAAGAGTTCAAGTAAGTGAATTCAAATCAAAGAAGGATGGTAAGATGAAACCACTTTACCAACATTTGAGATGCGTGGACAGTTTTAAGTTCACGAGTACGAGTTTAGAGAAATTAGTGAAAGCAACCCCTCGTGAGGATTTTAAAAAAATGGAAAAAGTATTTGGTGACCTACTACTAGATCCTGAATTGTACAAGGTTAACCCATCTACCTCAGAAAACAATCGAGTCATTCAACTACGTGAAGTTATTGATAAACGTAAAATGGAATACATTGTTTCCCATCCAGATGATTTTGAATAGGGAAGTCGATACATTAACGGGTGTAAGTTGGACAAGAATGCACAATTAACATTAATGAAGAATAATTTGCCAAAAGTTAAAAATCGAGGTGAATGTCTTATGAGTTATTACCAAAGGAATAATTTTAGTAGATACTGGACTAGTGAAAAACTAGGTATTCAAAACATGAGTCGTAAAATAAGATAATATGTATGACATTAATATGAAAAATGCACATCATACATTCCTATCATGGTATTGTCATGAGAATGGTATTAAATGCAATGGGCTTGATGATTTTATTGAAAACAGGTAACAGTACATGGCAAATTGGAGGACACAAACTGGTCAAACACGTGATGAAGTGAAAGCACATTTACTAGCTATTATTAATGGAAGAAGTGGAAAACGTGCAAAACCAAAAACGAATGATCCAAATACAAAGAATTTTAAAATGGAATGAGACACATTATACAGTCCATTGTTAAACTAGAACCAGAATTGTATAATTTAGCTAAACAATCTAAAGAAAAGAAAGATAAGAAAAGATACAACATTGGGGGTACTACGATTAATTATGTGATGTGTAGGTCAGAAAACCAAGCATTTATGATTGCTTTTGATTATTTAAAATCACAGAAGATTGAAGTAGGTTCCCTTGTGTTTGATGGACTTATGGTTTACAAAGACAACGTACCACCAGAAAACCTTCCAAAAATACTTACGGGATGTTCACAAAAAGTAAAAGAGGTTATGGGATGTAACATTACATTTACCAACAAACCTATGGATGAAGGTTATGATATACCTGTATACACCTTATCAACAACCCCTTTTGAAAACGAAGCATTGATGAGTGCTTTTGAATATTTTAAAAGTGAAGAAGGTATTGAAGTGAATTCTCTTGTATACGAATCAACCCCATCTGTAAACATTGAATTGCTTTTACGAAAAGGTGTATATCCCTATGATTACATGGATGGGTTTAACAAACTTGAAATAACAGAGTTACCTTCAAGGGAAGATTTTTAAAATACACTTAACGAAGAAGAAGTGAGTGAAGAAGATTATGAACATGCACAAAAAGTATGGAATACCATGAAAATTACTAGCATGAGGCAATACCATGATTTGTATTTAAAAACAGATGTATTACTAATATGTGATGTGTTTGAAAATTTTAGAGATCTTTGTTTAAAGAATTACCAACTTGACCCTGCTTGGTATTTTACAGCACCGGGTCTTGCCTATGATGCACTATTGAAGATTACCGGTGTAAAGCTTGACCTTCTCACAGATTCGAATATGCATTTGATGTATGAACAAGGGATTAGGGGAGGAGTCACCGTCGCAACTCGACGCTATGCCAAAGCTAACAATTCATACATTGAAGGGTATGATGCTAGCAAACCAACGAATCACTTGATGTACGTGGACGTCAACAACTTGTATGGATGGGCTATGAGTAAGCACTTGCCCACCGATGGGTTCACGTGGATCACTCCCGAAGAGATGCCAGCCCTGGATATACTTACCGCCGAAGACGATCAAGGATACGTGTTGGAGGTAGATTTAGAATATCCTAAAGAACTTCACGATTATCACGATTACCCCTTAGCTCCCGAAAAATTATTAAGGAACAAAGTGAAGAAGTTAGTGCCGAATCTTGGTGACAAAGAGAAGTACGTCATTCACTATGTCAAAGAGGGACGAAAACTACCAGAGGGACAGTCAAACTCAGTCAACCTGAAACAATACCTCGAACTTGGACTTAAGCTGAAGAAGATTCACCGAGTGATTAAGTTTAACCAAAGTCCATGGATTAAAAAAGATATTGACTTGAACAACACATTTCGAGCCGCTGCCAAGACGGATTTTGGTCGTCGGGTTATTTTTAGTGAACACCTAGCAGCTTTTCACATGCGAAAAACAAAAGTAGTATTTGACAAACCGGTCTATTTAGGATTTTCGATTCTTGACTTATCCAAAACATTAATGACAGACTTTGTTTACAAATACCTGAAACCAACCTTACACCGATACCGATAGCATCATTTGCAATCTGGAAACTCCAGATGTTTACAAAGACATGAATGAACATGGACTACAGTGGTTTGATACATCGAATTACCCTAAGAATCATTCATCTGGAATAAATACAGCATTAAACCCTAAAGTTCTTGGGATGTTCAAAGATGAATGTGGTGGTAAACCAATGAGTGAGTTTGTAGAGTTACGTGCAAAGTTGTATGCCTTTAAGGTGGGTGACACCGAATCAAAGAGAGCTAAAGGGGTGAAAAGAGTACTCTGAAAAATGGACTTACCTTTGCCGACTACAAGACATGTCTAGATACTTACAAAGATAGTTATCGAACCATGAATATGTTTAGAAGTCATGGGCATCAAATCTATACGCATGAGTGTCGTAAGAAAGCTCTCTCAGCTGATAATGACAAACGTTACATCTTACCCGATGGCATAATAGTACCCAGCACAAAGACATTACAAAATTGAAAAAATAACTTAAAGACATGTGTTAGTAGAAGTAACAATGCCTACAATTAAATCTGCTATGAAAACACATCGTAAACAAGCCATTTGTTTAGAAAGACAACAGATGTAAACAGATAATCGAAAACAACAAAAGACGATCGCAACTTCTCGCTCGTTTGGAGGCTAGAAAACTTAAAATAAATGATACGAGTGCACAACCTTCTACTTCCCAACACACCCCTGTCCAACAGCGAGTTAGAAAAAGCAGTCAAGTCTCTTAACATTTCACATTTTAAAGGTGTGTTTATGCGAAACACATTACCTAATCACCCACAACACAAAGAGTGTGATATTTTAAATCATGATAGCATGACAAGGACAGGAACCCATTGGACGTGTTGGTTTGAGAATACAACCACAAAAGTGTACTTTGATTATAATGGATTACCACCCCCTAACCAAATGGTAAATTACTTAAAACCTAAGATCTACTACAACACTCATGAACTACAGATAAGAGGAACAGTGGTGTGTGGACACTTTTGTTTGTATGTTTTAAAATGTTTGTTGGAAGGTCAATCTTTTGATGACGTTGTGTTTTCATTGGTGCCATAAATAAAACAATGGTTGACAAGTTTGGAATCTATGGATATGAAGAAATAAATAAAAATAGTTTTCTTGAAGACTTGAACATGAACGACAATCGTATTACTAACCTAAAATCTCCAAGAACTTAAGAAAAAAGGAAAAAGTAAATAAGATTAAAGACTCCACACAACAAAAAATCGATGCACTTGTGGAACGTTCGTTGTCAATGGAAGAGCAATCCCGGATAGATCTAAAGAGTTTAAGGATGTTTGTTCAATTGAAACATGCTGGTGGGAGATCAAAAACCGTTAGTGGTTCAGGCATAGCTCAGATGTTTAAGCCTTCACCCCCATAACTCACATAGGGAAAGTAACCTTTATAGTCTTGGGCAAATTGTCAAAGACTATAAAGCTTGCTAAAAGGTTGTTACTGCATGTCTGATTGTTTGATCCAAGAATTAAAGGACTTAGGGTACCCTTTCTATTGAACAAAGACCACTTTCACACCACCCTTGGTTCGTTTTCGCAAGAC